GGGGTCGGAAAAAGGAAACTAAAGTTCTTTTTATGCATTTTTTCAGACTGGCATTGGGAGATCCACGCCCAAACTTATGGGTTCGCAGAACTGAACGGGCAGACAGGAGCAAGTTTCTTCGAAGATCCAATAAGCTGACCGCTTTTGTCTCTACATTTCCATTTACAGTAGACAGCGACTTTCAATCTACAGTCATCGAAATATTGGACGCACCCATAGCGCTGGAGAAACCACTTAGCCACACAGAAAACACTGCAGCTACCAATAAAAGGGTCTCCCGTTAGGACAAGCAGAATTCACCCCAAACCTCATTTTGTTATGAAAGGTGGAAACAAAGGATAATAAACCGGAGTTTTTAAAAAAGATTCGTCCATCGTAAAAACTAGAGTGCAGTAGAAACAAAGTAGTTGATACAGCCATCCATTGGATTTTTCAATCTCTGGAGTAGAGGAGTAACGGAGCAATAAAACCGGCTCAGACGAGCAAAGTCCACGAGCGTGGGGAGATCGGGGAATGGAAACGTCAGAGCGGAGTGCTCGCCGTACGACCGAGGCGCGACAAGGAAGCTGGTGAGGGATAACACTGCGTGGCCTGGCTCACATGCAAGATATGGTACCAACAGCGATCGTCTGGAAAACGGATTGTCAAATCGATTCTTTGATCAGATTTGCTGTTTGCCCAGCGCGTTGACAAACTGAAAAAACAGAACCTCGTGCAGAAGCACGCCAACACAACGGCCCATTAATTCTGGAATGCAGCTGACAGCTTCACACAAAAAAGTCATTGGTAAAGATACGGACAAGCCTTTAAGCCCCAAGTAAAATCAACACGCTTAAGGGCCTGCAGACCCCCCATGAAAGTCGTAGGCAATTTCTTAGAGTGAAGGCTGAAGTGACTCGAGCCATATGTTTTTCAGGTTGCATGAATGCTGTGCTTTCATAACCGTGACCCTGTGAGTCAATTTGGATAATCAAAGATATAATTATTCTGTCAACACCGCTGTGTTTTTCGCTGCGTTTGCTAAATCCGCAAGTAACTAGCTGGCGCACAGTGTCTAAGAAGCTAGTTTGTCTTGCCTTTTTTCAGAGAAGTGAAATGTTTCTGGGATAATCCCAAAATCAAATCTATTCTGATAGCGTCATCGTGCGGTGGATTATCTCCGAACACAAGATTAGGATATCGATCAACGTTCGTGCTTGTGCTCAGGTTGAGTTGAACTTTGCTGTTCCTGTCTTAGGAACAACGGTGAAGTGGGAGGGTTGTTCGGCAATCCTACTGGACAAGCGTCAACGGTAGCTCTTCGCTCGTTGCTCTAACACACGAGCCGCCATCATGTCTGTCCCCGTAGAACCGGCGTCCGAGCTGAACGACGACTTCAAGGTGAGCCTGGAGGAGCTGATGGCCCGGCTGAACGTGACAGACACCTACGACTCGTGGCGCAGCGACTGGACGGTGCTGAACGAGGAGCGCTGGCAGACCGTGGTCATCACGCTCTACTCTATCGTCATTCTCTTCGGCTGCTTCGCCAACCTGCTGGTGGTCGTGGTGATCGTGCGCTACCGGCAGCTGCACACGGTCACGAACATCTTCATCTGCTATCTAGCCATCGCTGACGTAGCGCTATGTGTGTTCAACCTCCCGCTACAACTGCACTACCAGCTCAGGTAAGTACGCTTGAGGCACACGGGAGACCCACGAGACACTTATTGCAGGTTCCTTTTCTTGTTTCTTCGTCATTGTCTGTCTTTCTATTTCAAATGTGGTTTCTATTTCTTTCTTTAATTCATTATTTATTCATTCATTAGTTGATTTGTTGATTGTTTGGGGGGGTTTTTGTTTGTCTGTTTGTTCGTTTGTAAAGTTCATTTACACATTTTTTCTAGGGGGGGGGGGGGGGTGTGCCCGTATCCGTCATTAGTTAGTCCCGGGTCTATTTTTGTGCGCGATAAAATTCTCAGTTCAGTTCAGTCAGAGTAAAGCACATCACATCCATACAACAACAGCAGCACGGTGAATGAAAAGAACTAGGCTAGGCAAACACAAAAATAAAAATAAAAAACCTACAGCTTTAAAACAAAAACTGCTCCGGACAGCGGATCTCTGAACCATACGGGCAGCCATATATTAAGTTTTCTTCAGGACCCTTGGATACAAATACAACATGCTCTATATTTCAAAAAGGCGTCCCTGAATACGTTTATAATTCCTTACATCTCCGTGGCCTTTACAGAATTTCCTGCGGCATATTCTTCACGGTCCCCTGGGAACTTTGGAAAAGGATTTGTTTACACCTCTCACGTTTCATCGCGGATTTCGTTCAAATAAATCTGCCAAATTTCCGAAAGAGCTCAGTGGGATCTGCATAATATTGCCTAAGCTGAAAAGTGCAGCGCACGCAATTTGCTTCGGACTGCAACATAAACAGCAGCTACTCACAACGTCTGTCATACACAATCCGCACTCAATGGTGATTATATCGATGTGGCTGCTCGGATACTGCATTTAGACGAGAGTGGTCTTGAGCAGAATCCTCTGTCAAAAACTGTCGAGGACACACCTCCCTCCCCCCTGTTCCATTCTTTCCCACTTCAGAAGCACTCTTAGAAAAGTTTTGGGTTTTTTTTTTAGTGTGTGTGTGTGTGTGTGTGTGTGTGTGTGTGTGTGTGTGTGTGTGTGTGAGAGAGAGAGAGAGAGAGAGAGAGAGAGAGAGAGAATGTGTGTGCTGTTGTTGGTTTTTTTAATAAATTTTTGTTCCTGCATTTTCTTTTAATGAAACATTTATCAAGATAATTGCAACAATATAATTCTAAAAAGGGAAGACCGTAAGATAGAGTCAGTGGAATGGTCAACAAAAATACCATGAACGTCTTCCAGATACAGGCAAATTAAAAAGTTTAAAGGGAAGGGGAGGCAAGGAGTTACAGCTTTAGAATTTCTCAACAACTATCTTTCGATCACCGCAAAGGACTAACTGGATCCGCAAATGTAAAGCACAAAACTGTAGACAGACAGAAAAAGAAACCATAAAACGTCAAGACCATAAAAATAAACAGCATGCACTCACATACATGGCGACTTATCATGATTGAAAGTACTTGTGGCAGAACACAACCCAAGGACATTCGGTATTTGAAGTTGTATTCGTTTCAGCCTAGGCTTTCCTATCACCTCGACATATAGGCCCATTGCGTACAAACAGAAAGTGCCAAACTTTAGTTGTGTTTGTTTGTTTGTGTTTAAGCAAAGAGAACCATATCGACACAATAACAGCCATTTCGTGCTGGAGAAAAGCCAGGTAGAAAGATAAAAACAAAAGACAAAAAGCTAAGGACCTACCAATGCGGGCTCCAACCCGCTTCAAAAGCCCCTCGTATAATAATATGACATTGCACAGACCAGGAAAGTCTCCTTCCCTCCATGTCATTATCATTGTCATTGTTTTTGTTGCTGTTCCTTCTCCAGTATTCTAACAGCTGGTCTACGTGCGACACCTTCGAAGAGATCTCTATTCACGTCAGGCAGTGCGTTAAACAACACAAACGCAGCCTTATCACAAAAGGATTGTATAAGACGACCATGATGGCAATAATGAACAGATTGTGCAGACTTTGGCTTGCATCTCCTTTTACCTTTAGACTACCAGCCCTATCCCTAACCGCTCGTTCAGTCTCTATTTAATTTCCCTCTTCTTGTCCAAGCTCATTCTCCCGTGGCCTCCTATCTGTAAGTTATTATTTGCATCTTGTCTGGATGGCTGGTTCACCATGCTTTTATCTCTCGTAGACAATGGTCGCCCCTCTCTCTCCCAGACAACTTTTTCTTCTCTCCTGATGCTAATCTTTTCATTTCTACTTTTCCCCCATCTTCTTCTTGGCTCTTCTTCTCTTCTGCGTCTTCCCTCTTGGCCTTTCTCCTCCTCCTCAATGTTCTTCTTTTGGGCCCATCTCCTTCTTATTCTTTTTCACGTATTCCCCCTTCTCCTTGGCCCTCCTCATTCTCCGCCTCTTGTTTCTTCTACAGCTTGGTCCTTCCCCTCTTCTTTCTCCTTCTTCGCCTCCCCCCCCCCGAAAAAAACAATCAGTCGAACTCACCATCCGTCTTTCTACCAATCAACAGACATATCACCCACCCTAACCCACCCCCTCTCATGTCCCCGATATTTCTACCTACCACCGCTGCGTTATTTCCTGTTTTCCCTACAGCTAGATGAAGGCCATCATCCCATCAGCTCGCGTCTACGCAACAGATTAGTCCTCTCACTTCAGTGATTTCATTCTCTACCCCACTACCCCCCCTCCCCAACGACACACACACAC